AAGAACTGAAACACAAAAACATAACATATGAGTTCCTGGAGAGACTGGGCTCAAATTTAAAATGGTGATTAATAAATATCTCCACTTCCTCTACCAAATATATTTCTGGGTGTGGCACAGCTGATAGACAAGTCATGCTCTTGCTTGCAGGATATGGTGTCTAAGCTGCAGGTCAGTTTATTGATCATTGCTGACTGGGTCAAGTAGGTTGTTCCTTAGTGCAGAGTCTTCACAGGATTCATATACCTGAATCCTGGCAAACTTACATATAGACTCTAATTGCTGGACCTCTGGAGGCTCTTCTGACTTTTCAAAGCTCATAAAATCTTGGTTCATTCTGTCATAACTCATTCACCAATTGTCTTTATTCATACCACATATTTAATAACAAAATATAATAAGGAATCCTGTCCTTTCTTTCTCTCTTTCTAGAGGAAGCTTGTCCCCAGGCCACTTAATCCCAGGGCCTTCTCTTTCTTAATTATTTCCTCTTTATGCTGAACATACCTTTTGTTTGTATTGTTTGTTTGCTAGTTGTGGACTTTCCCAGTTGACCAAATCTCTGGTGTTCTCTTGAGGCTATAATCCCATCAACTGGCCTTTCATTGTGGCTACACCCAGTCTCCCAATTCTGTTATCCTTAACCTAGCCTAGCCCTCCCAATGGCCCCTGGCTGTTTCCCACACTTAATCCTAGCTAGGCTCCATTGTCCAGGTCTCAGGAGTCCTGTTAGTTCCAGTTTACTGGCTACTCCCATTCAGATCCACTCCTAGATTCCTCCCACAGTCTTTCTGTACATAAGATCCATCTTGTCTCCATTAAGATGCTGGGATTCTTATAATCTAGCCACTGCTTAGATTCTTATAATCTAGGCAATAAGCCAATAGCTTACTAATGTTCAGACTCCTTAAGAGTCTGCTCAATATGATGGATGTTCTAATAAACCTTGTCTTTGGCTGAAAGAAGGCTTGGGTCAAATTCTTTCAGGAAGGACCTGTATGTTGTGATTTTGGGGTCCCAGAATCCTAAACCACATCACTACCATATTTATTAAACTCCAATGGCTCCCTTTTACCACTGGGATCAAATATAAATTTTGTTTGGCATTTAAATCTCTTCACAATTTGGCCCCTGTCTGAGAACATCATGATCCAGTCACATTGACTTGCTAACTGCTCTGTACCAATAATGCTAGATCTCCTTTCTCTGTGTCACCAGCTGCCCTCCACACCTGGAATGTATACCTTTCTTGTTTTTTGTTTTCCCTTTAAAACTTAGTTCAAACTATTACATGAAGCTTTTTTTTTTCCCTTCTGGTCACCAGAATTGCTAATGAACTGTCTCATAAAGCTTTGTATTTGTTTTTGTTGACCTGGAAGTTTGGCTGAAAGAGGCAAACTAAGTGATATATATATTTATATTGTTAATTCCCTTAAGGTAGCAGAATACATGTAATATATGGGAGCAAGAAGATATGTCTGACTCAGAGATAGCCAAGGTGAGGAAGACCCTTTATATTCTTAGAGCAATTCTGACTTAAGACATCTTTGTCACTTAACATTATAGTCTCCATACATATTTATCCGTAGCATGAGAAAGGAATTTTCTTAATTGGATAGCTTGTAAATATAAGAGAAGTATCAAAGTGTCAATTGAAATTACAGACCCAGGATATCCATGTTTCCCCTACATAGCATATGTCCATAAATTATCAAGATAAGAAAAGTCCCACTATTCAAGACAGTGTCTGGTCCCAGTTTCCCTGTTCTTAGTGGTCATAAAGAGAAGAATGCTCCTGGTCAGCCTCATCCAGCCCTGTAGCTGTTGACACAGGAAGTGGCATTCTGAGTTTACTTAGAGAGCAAAGCAAAGCGTGTCTGTTATGCCAGAGCTCACAAAGCATTATGATAGGTTAAGCTCAGAGTGGGCTAAAATGTCTCTCCTGATTGGCCAATCCAGGTTTTAGGCCTTTCTCAGGTCTTGGGAGTTCAAAATGTTTTGGGGAGGGGTCTACATTCTGTAGAAGAGTCAGTGGACATAGGGGAATACCTCTAAGTTAGTAATACCTCTAAGCCTTGTCTAACAATATTGACTGCATGATCTTGGGCAAATCTATGCTCTCAGTGCTTAAGGAAAATCTCAAGACATCCATCTGCAGTAGTAGAAGGAATTTCCTCATTCTGGAGTTCTCTATATCAATAAAATCACAGGTCCACTCCTTTTCCTGCCAGTCAGTCAACAAGCATTTATTAAGAGCCTACTATGTACCAGGTACTATGCTAAGTACTGAGGATGCAAAGAAAGGCAAAGGACAATCTGCTCTTAGGGAGCTCACAGTTTAACGGGGGAGATGATATTTCAACACAGAGGGCACGCTCTAGAATTCAGGGAGATTGAGAAAATTTTCTTGTAAGAGATGAAATTTGAACTGGGCCTTGTAGGAAACCAGGAAAGCCAGAAAGGGAGATGAGGAAGGAGAGGAATTCCAGGTATAGAGGGACAACTTTTGAAAATGCCTAGAGTTGGGAAATGGGGTGTGTTGTTTGATAAACACCAAGAAGCCAGGATTCATGGATAGCACAGAGGGGAGGAGTGGCATAAAGTATAAGGAGGTTGGAAAGGTAGGAAGGGGCCAGGTTATGAAAGGTTTTGAATAATATCTCCATCATTTTGGATATATTCATATATTTCTATATGTACCATTATCTTCCCTGTTATAATGCAAGCTCATTGAAGGCAGGCACTGGTTTTTTTTGTTGTTGTTGCTGTTTTGTTGGGTTTTTTTTTTTTGACAAGGACCACTCTCCTGAAGGCCTCCTGAAGAACTTAGGAATCGATTGAGATGTGGGAATCATAGCCACAGTACAGCCCAGCCTGGCATGCCCGAATCAAAGAAGGTACTATGCTCTATGAGCAAAGAAGAATTGCAATAGGTCAAAAGAAATATGAGATGCTCAAATTTAGAGATATCACCATTCCAAATGTTCACGTGGACTATTTGTGCTCGACCTATGGTAGAGACTTCTGCTCAGCCACAGCTGGACACATTGTATATTGACCCCGACATGGTGATGTCGTTTTGGTCCTCTTCAAGTATGAAGGACAACAAGTACTTAACACAATGCCTTGGCATATACAGTGGTAAATGCTTAATAAATGTTTGTTTCATAGACAGAGAGACAGATAAAATATTTATTTAACCCATACTCTGTGCCAGACAAATATGAGTAAACAAGATAGTCCCTGTCCTCAAGAAGCTCGGGGCAAGGCAACACATAAAAGGGAGAGGAGGGAGGAATGGTAGGGACTTTTGTTGGGGGTTGAAGAGAAGACTTTGGGGAACTGGTAGCAGTAGAGTCCAAGTTTTTAGCAGGAGGAGGGGGAAATAGGATCATGGCAATAAGGGTGGGATAAGTCTCCAGATTGCTTGTTTGATCTGCATCTCAAAAGAAAAGCACATTCAGGCTCTCTGTGAATTTGGATAACAGGAATTAGGTCTGGCTGAAGGATCTGAATGGTGTTGTGAAGGTTGCTGTGAACTAATGGCAATTAAGGCATGGTAAGAGAACAGGAGAGCTATTTGTACTCTTTTTCATGGCCTAGTGTCTCCTATCCCCCCTCACCTCTAGCAGTTCCAGCCTTTTCAGTTCTGCTACTTCCTGGACCAGTGGGGGTGGAAGTGGGGCAGCATTGGGTATGAGAAGACAGACTCTGTGTATGTGTGTGTGTGTGTGTGTGTGTGTGTGTGTGTGTGTGTGTGTGTGTGTGTGTGGTAGTGTGGTAATGTTTCCTCCAAACAGTGGCTAGGGAAAGGGGAAATTAGAATCAGAGGACCTGGCTTTCCTTTTGAATTCCAGCTCTGCTACTTACTACTTTGCTTGACTTTGAACAAATCCTTCTAAACTTTTCCAGTTTTTCTATCTCTGGAAGGTAAGTTCCTTTGAGGCAGGTATGACTGAAATTCAATTTAAATTGAAAGAGTTCACATACTTATAAATGGTGTTCTACAAGATTCAAATGCTCATTAAGCGCTTAGTATTCCTAAGGTCTGCTGCTAGGCACAGGGTGATAAAACAATAATAGTCTTTGCTCTCAAAGAGTACATTCTGTTAGAATGAGTAACAATAATAGCTCCCATAGCTGGCATTAAAGAGCTAGTTAGCTCTTTAAGGTTTGCAAAGCTCTTTACAATGTTCTTTCACTTAGTTATATACTCAAGAATATCAAGAAGACAGATACGTGTGTACAAAGTAAGTGGGGGCAGCTAGGTGGCAGTGGATAGAGTGCCATGTCTGAAGTCTGGAAGCCTCATCTTCCTGAGTTCAAGTGTGGCCTTAGACACTTTTGAGCTGTGTGGCTCACAGCAAGTCACTTAACCCTGTTTGCTTCAGTTTCCTCTTCTGTAAAATGAGCTGGAGAAGGAAATGGCACTCCAGAATCTCTTCGAAGAAAATCCCAAACAGGCTCAGGAAGGGTCCAACACGACTGAACAACAAAGTGCCTAATAAACGCTTTTCATTTCTTCCTAATTGTTGTACAAATCACATTTACAGAGCAATTTCAAAAGGAAAAAAAGCACTAACAACTTGAGGGTGGGGTAGAGGTGGGATAGGAGATTGGAGATGGGAGGTAGTAGACAACAGAGCTGTGCCTTGAAAGGCTGAAAGACTTGGGATTCTAAGAGTAGCAGAAAAATGAGGAAGCAATGCTTCCCGTCCCTTCTCCCCCTATCCCGCCCCACTTTTGTCTGTCCCCGCCTCAGCAAAATGAAAACGTTGGGCACACAGGAGGTGCTTAATAAATGCTTATTCCCAATGGTGGCTCACTTGTGTGTAAAACATATAGAGTTAAGTTTTAAATTGGGGATATATAATTATACACACACACACACACACACAGAAGGGGAAGTGTTCACATCCTTATAAATGGTGTTCCACAAGTCTTAGTGCGACTTTAACGTACGAAAGCTTAAAACCGTATCAGACTTTTGAGACAGCCTGAATGGGTAATGAAAAGACACGAACAATTTTCAGGGGAACAATGATCTCTTTCACTTTGTTAATCAAAGCGTGTTTGCTGTGATGCTCCCGCCGGGACACTACTCTTTATAAACTCCCAGCCAACTGGAAAAGCCCAGACTCCTCTCCACTCCGGAGGCTAGAACAGAGCCAGGCTTTCCGCCTACCCTCGAGCTGGAAGTACTGCGCAGCTGCCGGCAGTGCAAGCAGACAAGTTAGGAGCACTGCGCTTGCGCCGGCCACCTCACAGTGCGCCCTGACCAGGCTGCGCTCGAGCCGCCATCGTCGCCGGGTTTGAACCTTCCACCCCACCGTAGCCAGATTGCGGGTTAGGCCACTCGGTCTTTCCTTCTTTCTTTCTATCAAATCTCCCCGTCTCCGGCTTCAAACTGGAGTCCTTTACAGCGGCAGGAAGAGGGAGTCCCCTCCGCAGTATCCGAGCCGAGACTGTGGAGATGGCAGCTCAGAAGATCAACGAAGGGCTGGAGCATATCGCCAAAGCAGAGAAATAGTGAGTGAGCCAGACCCGGTGCTGGGGCATGGGTCGCCGTTGTCCTTGAACCAAGGGCTTGCCGTGGACTTGCCATTCCCCCGAACCCTCGGGGAGCCCGGCCGAGGTGCCTGGCGCCCCTGACAGCCCCTGGAGCCTCTCGAGCCCTGGCTGAGAGAAATACTGCACGTCGGAGTAGGGGGTTGCGGTGCACCCTGGGAGTTGTAGTTTGTTCTGTTCCCTACCCCGACCTTCCGGAAGTGGCGGAGGAAGTTATTAGTAATACTGCAGTGTGTGCGCCTTTCTGGGAAATGGGTGTGGGATCTGTGCTTCTGTTCTTGTTTCTTCTAAACGAATCCCAATTGGATACTAACGTAAATTATTATACTAACAAATTCCACTAAGGGGCCCGTTGTCTAATCTGTCATTTCTTCTACCTTGTAAGAATAATAATAATTAGTACGTATTCACATGCTCTTTCATTTAATTTTTGATTTTAGTTTTCCGTATAGAATAAGCTTCTGTAATTGTTGAGAGTGAGATCTAGCCTCTTGTGTAGCACTCTTCTTCCCTTCAGTGCCCGAATTCCTGTAGATTATCCAATAGATTATCCATCTGCCTCTCCTGTGACGATGGCATTGACAGTTGTCATTTGAATGGAGTTATAAATGACAACCACACATGGCAGAAACAGGTGATGTTTTGTGAAGAACCCACAGCACACCTGTGCCTTCCTTCAAAAGCTCCAGAAATCACACCTATTCCATCCATTTCCTTCACTAAAAACTGTTTTCTATCTGAAGCCTTGGGGGTATTTTCTGACTCTTCTCTGGATATCAGCCACCATTCAGTCTCTTCACCAGAGAAAAATAATTTCATTATTGCTTGAATATGTGTAAATATTTGATATGTATGAAGTTTAGATGGTATGTGTTTTATTGTCTTCATTGCTGTAAATTCTTAGAAGGTAAGGATCATACCAATTTAATTTTGTATGGGCTTGATATACTTGGTTAATTAAGTGCTACTGCCTGATGAAGAAGATGAGAGCATGGTATACAGACAACTCATTTTCCATTGGACTACCAGATTATGTATCCCATCTAATCAGTAAATACAGTTTTACTTTCCAGTAGCAGTTAGGGGTGCATGTTTCCATATCCAGTGACTTAAGAAATGTCTTAAGTAAGTTTAGAGGAGTAATAGCTTGCCAGTGAAGGATCTTTTTATTTTAAACTCAGTAATATTTATGATAGGATTCACCATAACACATTTTGCACTCACTCCCCCAGCTTCCAGGGTAAGGTGGAATGTTTAGTGTAGTATATTACTTATTTTTACTGTTACTTTCAGATTATTTTTCCATCTCTCAACAACCTCTTTTTTTTTTTAAAGTCCATGCTGTCCATTTATACTATCCTTTCTCTCTTTTTCATTGTATCTACTGACCTTTAGGATATTCTCTCCTCTTTTTATTCCTTCAGCTCACCACCCCATTCCCTGCTGTTGTCATCTTGACTTCAGTGTCTACTGTGATGACCTCATAATCCTTGAGAAGACCAGTGACATTCATCTTCACTTCAAATACCAACAAATGTGTGACCACACTTTGAATTTCATTATTACAGTTGACTGTTCTTTTCCAAGATTTTGAATTTTAAAATTCCCCTTCTGGGATCTTCAGATTTTTTCTATATATTTCATATAACCCTTTCTTGTTCTCCCAATTCTTTCCTATTCGCTCAGTCCATTCGTGATTTGCCCCCTATGAGTAAATCATAGCATATGCTTTCTCCCCTGTTCTTAAGTGTGCTAAATATTGCTGAAAAAGATCATGAAACTATGCTTTCTGACTTTATTACCATTTCATTTTGTCTCTTGTTTGGGTGGATCATTACTGTTTCTCAGCATTTGATTAATCTTTTGTTGACTTGTTAAGTGATTCTCTACAACTACTGTTCAAATTTTTATATTTTTCCCCAACGTGGCCTTTCTGACTATTTGCAGATGACCTTGACTCTGTTTACTTAGAAGATCAAAGACATCTAAAATTACTTCCCCCAACTTCTTTCCCCTCTACTCTAAAATTTCTTTGTCAAAATATCTTCATCCGTATTCTCTTTGATACTATATCAGAAGTTGCTTATTCTTTCTCAGGCTAACCAAAATATTCACTGACTTAAGCTACCACCTCTTCCAATTCACTTGTTTCATAGATGAAGAGCTAGAGACTCAGAGAGATAAGTAGCTTACTCAAACTTATGGTTATTAAGTTGTAGAATCAGGACTTTAACCCATCTTCTGATACTAAATCCAGTGACCTTTCCACTGTGCCATCCTCCCTTGTGTCCTTGATCCCATCCTATTCTGTCTTCAGGTTCTTATTTTGTAGATTATCTCTTCTGTCTGTCCCTGTTTCTGTCTGTCTAGGTCCCTTCCTTCCTTCTTTCCTTCCTTTCTTTCTTCTTGTTCTACTACTACTACTACTACTACTACTACTACTACTACTACTACTACTACTACTACTACTACTTCTAGAAGAGACTTGAACAGGTTTGAATCAGAGGGGAAACTTACCTTCTCTATGCTTAGTCCAGGCTGAGTCTCTATTTCCCAAGTTCTTTACCAAAAAGTAAAGAATGGGGAACCTAGAACTTGGTAGATATTTTTCTGTCCTCCATCCTTGATGAATTCTTCCCTCATATGGCCAATGCACCAGAAGTTTTGTCCTTGTCTTTCTTGCCCAGTAATAGGCAACCCATTTTGGGCCCCTTAGATAAGCTTCCTCTCTGATTCTGTGTGAGGAAGAGCCATATCTTTGCCTCATTCGTAATCTGGACAAGAAAGGCCTTTTTTTCTTAGTTCATTTGCTCACACTGTTCCTTTTATGTAGAATGCACTTTTATTTTACCATTTTCTTCTGTCTGATATCTTCTAGGTACCTAGTTATTTACAGGTTGTCTCCATTAGAATGTGAGCTCCTTGAGGGCAGGGACTGTTTTTACCTTTATTTGTTTATCCAGTATTTAGCACAGTGGTGGGACACGTATTGTTTAATGAGGGATTGTTTAACCAACTGACTTATCCTTCAAATGATGCCTTCCCTAGTTGCTTACCCTCCTTGCTTCAGTGGTGCTTTGTACTTCTTATATTATACTTTTGTATTCTATCTAATGTCATAGTGTATATGTGCATACGTGTATACAAACACTTCTCCAATAGACTTTCAGCTCTTTAGGGTCAGGGACTTCGAATTGTTCATTCTTGTATTGCCCAGCACCTAGGACAGCTCCTTGAACATTGTTTTGATTTCTCAGCGTTTATAGAGAGAGCAAATATTTTAACATTGAGACTAACAGAAGTAAATATTAAGTGTGTTTGACTAAATTGATATTTCAAGACCCCTCTACTTCTAAATTTTTGATAACGTTTCTTAGTTTCCAGATATCTATAACTGTGTTAACCAAATGTCTCTTATATTTTACAAGGCAGAAAGAAAGTATACTTGATTCCAGATCAGAATATGCCACTATATGCTACTTTATACTATTAAAATTTAATGACTACCATACTTCCTGCTTAACTATAGTAGTTGGAATTGCTTTTAATAAGGATATATAAAAGACATATTTTTTGTTAGACCCTGTGTCCCTATTTTTGGTTAGGAAAATTTGATCACTAAAATCAACAACTTAGAAGATTTAGTAACCTAATATTGTATTCGTTGCAGTGTTTTCTTTCAAATTTTCATAGCGTGAAGAGTTGGAAAGAATCTTAGAGATCATCCAGTCCAAATTTCACATTTTGCAGATCTGGAAACTGAGGCCCAGAAAAGTGAAGTAGTCTGTTCCACATTATGCAGGCATAAATAAATAGCAGAGGTGGAGTTTGAACCTAGGTCCATTAATTCTGAATCTAATGTTCTTTTTACTGAACCACTGGAGCACTAGTGAAGACAGACTGATTGGTTAAAGGCTTTTCTTCTAACAGTCTTGTCCATTCTGCTTATGATTCTTCCCCAGCTTTATTTCCAAAGTTGTTGCTAATGAACTACTAAGTTCATTTAAAAAATCCATATGTATGTATGTGTATTATGTAAGTTATGGGTGTGTTTCATTCAGTGGTTCTGCACCAAATGATGCTTTCTGGTCAGATTGGGTTCCTTCTCTAGGAGGAAGGAGTAGGGGGAGGTAGACAGAAATAGCTAGAATGACTGTTGAAATGATGGGTGCAGTCCATGACATCAAAAAAATTATACCAACTCTGCATTCTTTTTTTCCTTATGATTGATATATTTAGAAGGTGCCTGGGTTTACTTGCCTAAATATGTAATTTTAAAAGAGGCTACCAGCTCCCTTTGCCCCACTGAGTATGAAAGGTGCCCCTAACCTGCTTGGACCTAACCAGCATAGTACTGAGTTGCTTGAAACCTACTATATGTACTCCTTTATCTCTTAGAAACCATTGCAGAAATCTGAGATATTGAGTGACTGGAGAAGCTGATTGGCACTGTATTCTTGTAGTATGTATACTTCACTAATTTGTGTGTTATGTGTGAATGCATATGTTATATGTGTATATGTATATTTGAACATGTTATTATTAAACTATGTAGTTAGATTTAAGGAATATGGGACCACAGTTCTGTTCTGTGAGATGTAGATCTAAACTAATTCACTGAGTTCCTACCACATGCCCAGCACTAAGCTAAGAATGGTGGCAATATAAGAAAATTATAAATCATGATTCTCAACCTTAGAAAGTTTGCAGTTCAGGGGCAGCTAGGTGGCGCAGTGGATAGAGCACCAGCCCTGGATTCAGGAGGACCTGAGTTCAAATCCGACCTCACACACAACACCTACTAGCTGTGTGACCCTGGGCAAGTCACTTAACCCCATTGCCTATCCTTAAAAAGAGGGGAAAAAAAAGAAAGTTTGCAGTTCAGTTAAAGGCATAAAGTAATACTTGTTTTGAAGGATCTTTCCAGTGAACCACTTTTTTCTTATGGTGATAAGACAAAG